CAAAAAGGACCCGTATTAGAATAATATGTGTTTTTATGCCATAGTTGTCATTTTGGTCAAGAACAATCACTTGTATAATATTTAGTATTATATTTTGGTTCACACTAGAAATATTTTATATTTAACTTTTCACTATTTATAATTTTAGAAACAAATGTTACATTTTGAAAAAAAAACGAAATTCCATTGAAAATGCATGCGGGTCATTTTTGACCCACTTATGGAAGCTTGGGGTAGTAATACAAAAAATACAATTTCTTAAAATGTATAAAATGTAAATTTTAAATTTGAATGGCATGTTATCCAAAACATGTTTTCTGAGGAATAGCTGGAATATGAAATGATATTAAAAATTAATTACAAAGATACTTCAAGAATACCACCTAACCGGGTAAAAAAAGACCCACTTACGGAAGCTTGGGGTAGTAATACAAAAACTACAATTTCTTAAAATGTACATTTTAAATGTGAATGGCATGATATCCAAAACATGTTTTTTGAGGAATAGCTGGAATATGAAATGATACAAAAATGTAATTACAAAGATACTCTAAGTAAAAAAAGACCCACTTATGCATCTAAGGGTTAAATGACTCAACACTATTTTATTGTAACTTAAGAGAATAGAGTATATAACATTGAGTCTACTATAGAGTATAGAGCCATCCCCATTCTATAATGGTACTTTAACATTATATCAATGAAACTTGAGATTCTAGATTGTAATTTCACATTCTAGTTACTGTAACTTAACATTCTAGGATTGTAATTCAACTTTCTAGAACTAATTTGAATTGTATAAATTCATTTTGACATTCTAAAAATGAAGAGCGGAGGCAAAATTAGCTGAAGCCAGTCAGGGAAAAGACAAAAACATATTTTGCATAAAGAGAAGTCTGAGGGTCATTCTTTGCTCTTCTCTCAGGAAAAAATAAATCTCTAAATCTGATATAGCAGATGCTATTAAAACATCTGTGCTAACTATTTCAGGATCCACCATTGTTGTTTCTAATGATCATAATACTCTTGCCTCTATGTATCATTGCCCACACGTAAAGCACGCCTGTAGCTGCTGGTAGATCCACACAGGGATGGCGGACACTCAGGAGTCTGGTCACAGGAAGCAATACATAAACTGATAAAATAGATTTTTTTACCCACCCCCTAGGAATCACCACTTTAGCTTAATGAGCCAATAAGGAGCAGCAGCACCCGCCCCCGCCCCCCCCAGGAACAGGACAACTGGAGCCCCCTACTTCATGCTCTGGAAATCTTGTACTCTGTCACTCTGCGGCCTGTTAACTTGCAGGACACCGGCTCACTGGGCAGAGTCACCCAGCCCTACAGTATGTGTTTCAATGACTTACAAACCTTTACTGATTTGCCAAATGACAACATTTAATGGTGGTAGGCATTATCTTTCTTCATACTTAATGAAGTGTTCCCATTGAGACAGAATAAATGTCCGATGTTGCAGGGGGCCTTACCTGTTCCTGGAGGGGGGCATTTGTCACAGCGAGGGCCCCAGGCTTTGCCCACACTGCAGCAACAGAGCTGTTTGCTCAGCTGGGTGGACACTGGGTGCAAACACTGCCTCCCTGAGCTGACCAAGCGGAAGCAAGCCCCCTTTTCCTCTGGGATGGCAGGGGTGTTGGCTAAATAGGAGTGCAGGGGGGGTAGGAATCGGTGCACCAGAGTTTAGAAGAAACATACATGGGAAAAAGAAAGAACAGAGAGTAGAGAAATAAAGAAGTTCCCTTCACCAAAGTAACTTTTCCAACTGCTATGACAAACATATTTCTAAAACAACACCAGTGCATAGAGAAAAACTAAAATATCACTGTTAAGAGTCAGGAAGTCAATTTTTTTGATGGCACCAAAAACTATATTCTAAACAATTACAGCCAACAGAACACAGCATCTCATTCAAAGAGCAAACTAAATGTTAACGCTTCATGCACTATCTAGGTCATGCGCTGGCTCAGATGAAGGCATGCAGGAAAGGTAGGCTCAGTTTGTGTCTTCAAAGTCTTATGGTGTAATCAAACATCTTTGCAAAATCTTTAATTGGAATACAGGTACTTGGTGAGATGTTGGTGAGTGAGCTAGAGTTGGTAAAGTAATAGATAGTATCATGAAGTCTATTCTATATTTTAGGGCTGAAGGATGAAAGGACAGGTGCGCTGGGGGGTAGTCTGGCTGCAGGTCAGGAGGAAATGCAGGGGAACAGTGCTGCGTAGCTGAGACGGAAGAGAAAAGCATTGCATTGCCTCATGCCCTCATTCTAGAATGAGGGCATGAATAAGTCATTCAAAACCGCTTTTAGTATTGATTTGATTTTCGTGATGTTGCAGAGAAAAGCAGAGCTCGTTTATGTGAGCACCAAAGTTTAAGTTCTGGTTAGGGATGCTCCGATCGATCGGTCACCGATCGAGATCGGCCGATACTCACTCTCTACCGATCGATCGGTGCTCTCTAAACATGCCGATCACGAGAGCCGATCGCATGACGTAAAATACATGACACTTTTCTCTGTGCGCGGGAAAACAAGCTCGCCAAATTGGCTTCACCGGTCTGGCATTATTTTAACGTGTCCGAAAAAGACAATAAAATAGCGGTATGCAACGTGTGTGAAGCAGAAATCCTGCAGCTCCACCCGCTGTGACGGACCGGTGAGCGGAGCAAAACACGCACTGAAACACACTAGAGTTAGACCTAAACAAACACTACTTAGCTTAATTTTTATACCTTACCTCGTGGAAACAAGACTAAACTAGTTAATAAATATATTTATCCTTCTATTTTTCGGGTCACTCATTACTGGATCAGTGAGCTGCGTGAGATACTGACAGGCTGTCGAGGAGAGAGAGAGAGGGGGAGAGAGGGAGAGAAGAAAAGAGAGCGCTTCCGCTCATTTCTCCCGTGTTATTCTCCAAAGTTAATGTAACTTGAATAATGTACATCATTTGAATGTAATATTTAAGTTGATTGTTGTTTGTGGAAGCTCCAGCGAATGAGCCCCATTAACTGAGTTTTAAACATCACTTTAAATGGAAGATTTAAAGTGATGTTTAAATCTTCCATTTAGGCCCCAAAATTGGCGATCGGAGCATCCCTAGTTCTGGTCAAAGATAATACCCAGTTCTTTTGTGAAAGGTTTAACATTGGGAGCCAGAGTGTTGATCTAGGATTTTATCTTGAAGACAAACTAATCTGGACAAATGAGAAGGACCTCAGTATTGACTCAATTTGGATGAAGGAGTGATATCCATTTTTTTGTTAGTAGCCAGGCAGTCATGGATAGTGCTACATTTACCCATGATTATTAGCTTAAGGGACAAGTAAATATATGCATCGTCAGCAGAAAAGGGGTGACAGATGCGGATGAATTGTTTAAGTATAGGGAGAAAGGTATGAGTCCAGGGATTGAACCCTTTGGAATAGCGCAGAGTAAAGGGGAAGATGAAGACACAAAACTGTCTATGGCAACCTCAAACTGCTTATTTGATAGAAAGGAGGACAAACAATTGAGAGCAGAGACCGAGAAACCATCCCAATTGGTTGAGATGTTCAACCAAAAGAAACCTGATCACAAGTTTGCAAATTTCAACCAAAAATTATGGTGCATTTAGACACGTTTAGAATGATTGTGTAATGTTATCCGACCAAACGGCTGTTTAATCTGGTGATATTTGCAAAAATTCTGATTGATTTGAAATAAAATCCTTTATCAATTGCTTATAAATGCTTAGAGGGAAACCTGTCTCACATGTACACCTGAAATAGGACAATACCACTTAGAATGATTAATCAAAAACAACAATGTTTTAAAATAGCAATAGTGAATATATTGTTGAGGATGGAGAAAATGGATGGATATAACAGCAAAAATAAACCTAAATGTGATACTTTATCTCCATTGACAGAAACAAACACACATGAATGCTCCAAAAATGGAAACCCCCAGCACTGGAGTCAGGAAATGAAACAGTCACCTGTACCACTAATGGTAAAAACTATTAACCAACACAAAAGTGACATAAGTCAGTGATTTGTAAACAGACATTGCAAACACCAATTTACAAAAACAAACGCTAGCAACAAGTAATGTTTGCATTTTGGTACAGGCCCTATGTGTGTCTTAATCTCCAGCGGACTGTATAGAAGTTGCTCATTATGCCAGAGCTTTGCTCAAATGTACATACTACCTGACTCAAAAGGGGATGAAAAACTAGATGAATTCTCCATGCAAAAAATGGTTGGTCATTTTCAATTGTGATATATAATTTGTATTAGGTACGTTATTATGTAATGGAGGCAGGCTGTTTCACAGTTCAATAATAGATAGTATTGACCAATATGAAAGCGGTGCACTGATGCTGTATATACATATACTCTTAGTTAGTCTTTAGTTAGATGAACTCCTTAACATCGCTATCGGCATCAGACTTTGAAACTCAGGTTGGGCTGGGGTCATTAATAACCGACAGCCCATTTCGATCATGGTCAAGATTGATTACTCTAGCACAAGTGTGTGAGTAGTTTATTCTTCTAACTGCATCTTCACTTCCCCAGATATCTCTTCCTCTCCCTTCTGCTCCTTATATATACACTTAAAGCCATGAGATTTGTTGGGTTTGACGACATGTTTGCCTTGCAGTTCATGCATGAGGTGGAATCTTTTTATATAGTGAAGACCATGCTTTAATCCATGCACTGTTTTCATATGCACATCATTAAAGACACAGTTCAGCTTCAGCAGCATTCCTGGCAGTATTTTGAAGCAGGAGGCAGAGGTAAATATTCAAACATATTTTCCACCTGTCTTCTCTCCTTAAGTGATGGTGGTAAATATCAAACCAGTTTCAGAAGGTTTTTGGTCAAACACATCTACAGACCAGCATGCACATATAATGCCTTCATTCCTGTAAATAGTTATGCTCAGTTTGGCACTCAATGGATGGAGGTTCTGGTTTGGATGTAAATAAATCACATAGTGATGTGAGGAATACATCTTAGACAAAGTTAGATTTTGTATGACTTACATATGCAAGTGGTGAGCGTGGAGTCGGGGATGAAGCCTGGTTTGCACGTGCACCTGTAGCTCCCCACGGCATTCAGACAGTTTCCATTGGGACACACACCCTGCAGCTGGCACTCGTCTACATCTGTGGATCAACAGAACATGTGAGGTCTAAATAATACAGCATAGGAAATCATTTAGAAATGCGCAATCTTTTTAGTTTCCCATCTTGCAATCAAATCAGATTTTATTTATATAGCGCATTTTAAAAACGATTTTTGGTCGAGCCAAAGTGCTGTACATGCAAATAATAAATAACACATTACTACAGTCGCAAACAGAAGACAATAAATTACAACATCAAATATAAAAATCAAACACCGGGAAATGTCATGAGTCATGCTCCGCTCTGACTAGAAGGCCAGGGAGAAGAAGTGAGTTTTTAGTGTTGATTTAAAAACCCCTAGGGTCTAGGCCGACCTCACATGGAGGGGCAGAGGGTTCCAGAGCCCATGGCCAGCTGCTGCGAAGGCTCAGTGCCCTCGGGTTTTGAGCCTGATCTTGGGCACTACCAGCAGCAGCTGGTCAGCCGACCTTAAAGCTCTGGCTGGGGTGTAGCATCTTGCAATGTTACTTCTTCACCATCATTTTCTACTTTCTCAATTATTTTACCAAGATTTACGCAAGAATCAGGCAAATATCCTTGGATTGAATTTCACAGAATTTTTTCTCAATGCATACGCATGTTTACATTTGTAATCCTTTCATTGTCCGTCAGCAACATAATGTTTATACAGTGGGGCAAAAAAGTATTTTGTCAGCCACCAATTGTTCAAGTTCTCCCACTTAAAAAGATGAGAGGCCTGTAATTTTCATCCTAGGTATACCTCAACTATGAGAGACAAAATGAGAAAAAAAAATCCAGAAAATCACATTGTCTGATTTTTAAAGACATTATTTGCAAATTATGGTGGAAAATAAGTATTTGGTCAATAACAAAAGTTCATCTCAATACTTTGTTATATACCCTTTGTTGGCAATGACAGAGGTATTTTGGCCCATTCCTCCATGCAGATCTCCTCTAGAGCAGTGATGTTTTGGGGCTGTCGCTGGGCAACACAGACTTTCAACTCTCTCCAAAGATTTTCTATGGGGTTGAGATCTGGAGACTGGCTAGGCCACTCCAGGACCTTGAAATGCTTCTTACAAAGCCACTCCTTCGTTCCCCGGGCGGTGTGTTTGGGATCATTGTCATGCTGAAAGACCCAGCCACGTTTCATCTTCAATGCCCTTGCTGATGGAAGGAGGTTGTCACTCAAAATCTCACGATACATGGCCCCATTCATTCTTTCCTTTACACGGATCAGTCGTCCTGGTCCCTTTGCAGAAAAACAGCCCCAAAGTTTGATGTTTCCACCCCCATGTTTCACAGTAGGTATGGTGTTCTTTGGATGCAACTCAGCATTCTTTCTCCTCCAAACACGTCTAGTTGAGTTTTTACCAAAATGTTCTATTTTGGTTTCATCTGACCATATGACATTCTCCCAATCCTCTTCTGGATCATCTAAATGCTCTCTAGCAAACTTCAGACGGGCCTGGACATGTACTGGCTTAAGCAGGGGGACACGTCTGGCACTGCAGGATTTGAGTCCCTGGCGGCGTAGTGTGTTACTGATGGTAGCCTTTGTTACTTTGGTCCCAGCTCTCTGCAGGTCATTGACTAGGTCCCCCCGTGTGGTTCTGGGATTTTTGCTCACCGTTCTTGTGATCATTTTGACCCCTTGGGGTGAGATCTTGCGTGGAGCCCCAGATCGAGGGAGATTATCAGTGGTCTTGTATGTCTTCCATTTTCTAATAATTGCTCCCACAGTTGATTTCTTCACAACAAGCTGCTTACCTGTTGCCCTTGTGTTTCTCCTTCCCTGCCCGGCTGTTTCTCGTCTCGTGATTACCCCTCCCTGTATTTAGTCTTGTCTCTTCCTGTGTTCGGTGTTGGTCATTATTTGTCGTTCATGTCTCCCTTCATGTTGGTCACAGTCACCTTTTGTTTGGATGCTCCCTCGTGCCTGTTCATGGATTCTTGTTTTTTCAGCTTTTGTGAATAAAGCTCGCCTTTTGTTTCATTTTGAAACCTGCTTCCCTCCTCAATCTGCATTTGGGTCCTATTTTTCCCCAACCCTGACAGTATGTGTGTAGCTTAAATGAAAACACAGCAATGCATGCATTTGAACATTGCTGGAATATGCTTAAAAAGCAAAAAGAAATAACATAAATATGCGGACTGAGATTTAAGATTGTATTTACATGTTTGGTCCGCAAGCATATGGTCATAGTTAGAAGACAAAAAGCAGAACACTAAAAGTAAAAGTGGTTGGAAAATGTCAATAATCAATGTCAATAACGCACCCACGCACGCACTCTCTCTCTCTTGCTTCCAGCCACAGAGCTGGCACACACCAGGGATACCATTGCAATGTGCCACAATTACTAGCGGTAGCATTGAATTCAACGCCCACTATTGGTGCCTTAAAGAACCACAAATTATTGTGGGAAACGACTTTCCGGATGGAAAAGACCAAAACTGCTTGTTTACAACAGCCATGTGCCCAAATGAACTCTGCAAACAGCTTTTGCCTGTTGTAAACATTCCTCCTATTTATACATGAGGGGGAACTCATTCACAGTCAGTTCCGTTTGAAAAGGCTGGTTCAACTTAAGCTAATGTGAAGCCTCATCATCAAATAAGGATAGTATCTTCTAAATTACATTTTATTTAAAACAACATTTTCTATACAGGGATGTCTGATAGAATATAGCTCTTACAACTGAAAATATCTAGACATTTCCATGGATCAATCTAATCTCATTTAATCAAAGGACTTATATTTATATATAATTTAGAGCTCCTTTTTGGTGCTTTCTTCTAGGAGAGTTGGTGTGATGAGCTGTTTCTGGTCTTATTAACTCTCCTGTCCTTTCAGATCCTGCCCCCCTCCAGTCTCTTGCCATCAGACGGCCCCTCCCCTGCTACTCATTCCTTCATTAGCCCCACAGTATACTGTATAAATCACTTCACTCTCACTTGTTCCCTGCCAGATTGTCTTGTTTGTACTACCAAGCCAAGTTGTAAGTGACTGTGATTTATTTATTATAAGGTGTGTGTTCTGCCAAGCTCTCCAGTGTCTTGTTGGCAATTAACCTATTTACTGGTATGTGCTCTGCCCAATTTTGACCCTGTGCCCACATTATTCTGCCTCCTTATAGGATTTGTCTGCCTGATTGATAAGACACCTGAAAGGAAAGCTCTTACCTTGGCAATGGGAGCTGTTGATTCTCCTGTAACCGTGAGGACAATCTATCAGAGGAATAGCTGAGGAGAGGAACACAGAAACAAGAGGAAGCAACATGTCAGTCACTGCATTCAGACATTTAATGAACTGTTTCAATACATCTGGGTGTCATCTGCATATATATGATAACTTAGGTTGTTGTTTTTCATAATTTGGGCCAGTGGTAGCATATAGATATTAAAAAGCAGAGGTCCTAAGATGGAGCCATGAGGAACCCCGCATGTCATATTTGTCAACGCTGATGTGTAGTTGCCTATAGAGACAAAGTGTTTTCTGTCCTTTAAGTAGGAATCAAACCAATTTAGAACTGTTGCCGAAAGTCCCACCCAGTTTTCTAGTCGGTCTAGCAATATTTTGTGGTCAACAGTGTGAAACGCAGCGCTGAGATCTAATAATACTAACACTGAAGTTCTGCCACTGTCTGTGTTTAAGTGGATGTCATTGAAGACCTTTACAAGAGCAGTCTCAGTGCTGTGGTTTGGACGAAAGACTGACTGGAACACATCAAAACCCTAATTTAAAAGCATGAAATGACTCAGCTGTTGAAAAACAACTTTTTTCAATAATCTTGCCTAAAAATGGGAGGTTTGATATGTGCCTATAATTATTCATTACGGATGCGTCTAGATTATGCTTTTTTAAGAGCGGTTTGATGACTGCAGTTTTCAGGGCCTGTGGAAATACACCAGAGTGGAGAGACTTGTTTACTATATGAAGTAGATCTGAGGCCATGCAATGAAAAACAGTTTTGAAAAATCCTGTTGGAATAATATTGAGGCTGCATGAGGAGGATTTCAGGCAGTGATGAATAAAGAGTAATGAGATATATGGTACAATAAACGCCTGCTACTAGTACTACTACTACTACTACTACTCCCAGACATAGCAAATGCATTGTTTGATGTGATGTGTAAACCATTTATTAAGGTTTAAACGTAACATATATTACGTAAAACATACAAGGATTGACTAAAACCAGAAATGGGTGATGAAGATACATTGTGACATGTTTATTATGGTAAGAAAGTAGTCTATGTTGGTTTTCGAAACACAGTGTAAATCTGTTGAACTATGATGACTAGATGCTCTTTATCTAGGATCCGGAGATGGATTGCTTCTGCCTCCACCCACACAGCTTGGGATTCGCGGCACTTTCCTCACTTCAGTAATGTTGTCGCTCGGGAAACATCACTTTCCCTCTGGTGATTATATCCTGTTTTATCAGGGGTGTACCACAGGGAGTCAGGCAGGAGCTGAAAGCTGCTCTGACATCAGCAGCTCCCAGCAGAGCGCAGACTGAGAAGTCAAATTAATCTGCAGGTTACAGGCTGGGCACTGCTATACGTACGTGGTACCCAAATACCTGAAAACAAATTGATATTTTGCTCAACAGGAAACAACAAGGCGATGTTTGTTAGACCAATAAAGCCAATTTATTTACCAGCTACCAGTGTCTCCATGGCACAATGGACTGTTTCACACGTCACTGTCCAGTGGAAAGAAACTCCTTCCATTCCTCAGGAGAACAGAGGGAAGGACAAATACCTGGCTCTGCGGTGACTCCCACTGAAATGTGTGATTAGTGCGGCTGAAATCCTCTCGTGGTGTGAGGCATGTGAGAGCTGGTATGAGTGATTAACAGGGTTTGCCATATTATAAATGCACATTATGACAAAGTGAGAACTTGCCGTGAACCTAAACATATCTGAGCTGAGAGAATGTTGTATTGTATTGTTTATGTCAGGAATATACATCACAAAAAGCGTACAGACCCCAAAAACATAATCTCTGTCCCTCTCTGTGTGTCAGTATAACTGCTGGATTATTAGTGTAAATCGTATATACAACCTGAGGGAGAACCTGTATTACACCTGGATGTTTAAAGTTTGAAAAAAGAGAGGATAGGAAGGAAGAAAATATGCATGATTGAGTGGCATTATAGGAAATGTACTGATGTCACCATCTGATAAAGTACCCGAGATTTCATTAGATAAGGTTTAAGCTGCAACTACTGTTTCTATGGAGACAAGGCCAGTGAGAAGCTTGAAGTTTTATGGCCGTACCAAATTCAAAAACATTTCTCATTGCAACCATAGTCCGGATGAAGAAATCATCTCAAACTGACCAAGAATCTCTTCCAATCATGAGTTGTGTTAACTTTTCTCCTCATTACTTCCTCCGTTGAATTTGAACTTCTTGTGTTTTTCTGCATTGATGATTCAGTAGTGTCTTACAGTTTCATGTCCATCAAAGCCTTTAAGTGCTCAAGCCAGTAAAAGCATGGTACATTTACTTCTGAAAACCATGAAAGCCCAAAATAACTCCATAAATCCATATAAGGATATCATGACATTAACATATGGCAATACTTTTGAAGGCAAAGCAATGTCTCTATTTTGGTTCATAAACTGTTCATTAGCCTCTCCTCAGTTGAACAAGAAGGACTGTACTCAAGCTCTTACATTTCAGCTAATACAGCAGCAACGTGTCTTTTCCTACATTCAATTGATATTTATATTCAAAAATAGGGACCCGTAAAGGTGTATGAGTGAATAGCCATCTACTCATCACTTCAGGTGTGTGTGTATGTGTGTGTTGTGTGGGGGTGTGATTGGTACAACATGCCATAGAGTCACTTCATGCGCTTTCACACCTGTCTCTCGATACCTATTCAGGGGGGTAATATAGTGTTTCCTGATTTGCTCAGTACCTTTACTTTGCCCGTTGTTATATCTGGCAAAATAAGCTCAGGGAGGGAGAGCCTCTCAAAGTTTAGCTTGTCTTTAACGATTTTCTGAAAACATAAATTCCTTTCCTTTAGCTGAGGACCATTCTGAGCCCTGAGGCTGTTTTCTGAACTTCAGATCACCGTTCCCTCAAAAGAAACCGCCTTCAGTAAGTGAAGATCAAATTCTGATGTCCGCCAAACCCATTGTGAGGGAGAGAATGGAAGAGAAGGCTGCTCAGAAAGCTGATACAGACCTGTTCTCTGTACCACAGGGGTTGAAGAGTTTGTGTCCACTTTAGAAACAGGCAAACGTAGCTATCATAACGTCACGGTTTATGTTTAGTGTTTTTAGGATAAAAGAAGTGTCCCAAAGTATGAAGTTAGCATCTACAGTCGAAACCAGGTGTCTGCAGCTTGGGGTTAAATCATCATGTGTTGGTCTTTTATTGAGCAATATTATGAAGATTATGGTGTTAAAGGTGTGCTTCCCTCAGAGTTATATTTATCCACAGAAGTTAAATGGGCCTATATTTTCAAATATTATTATACAATTAACACACAAAATTAAGGTATTTTATTTTTCAGACACACTCCTCAATAATTACACTTTATCTTGGATTGAGAGAGTAGGATTTAGCAGAGGTCTTTCCGAATAGTTGCTATCAAGCTGTTGAGATGATGTGGGTTAAGGTTCATGTTGAACTTCACTGGTGTAAAAACAGCTTACTAAGATTCGCACATAGCTCTAAATGTTTAGAGGTGTGCGGAGAATTCTAATGGACGTGGATAATTTAGCTTTCCAAATAGCTTGACCAACGTCCAAGAGAAACAGCTGTACTCACATGGTTGCTTTGGACACTTCTGGCACTTGTGGAATCCCCAGGACGTCCCGATAGTCTGGCAGCACTGGTCCTGCTTAGTGAGGCCTGGCAGAGCCTTCCCACACTGAAACACACAGACGTACACAGTGAGATAAAGGAATGGAAAAGGAATTATTATTTGGATAAAAAGTCTGTTTCTGTTGTCTGATCCCAAGGACAGTCAGATAAACACACTGACAGTCTGTTATCTTTATGGAACAACTGCTCTGTAAAATGTGACCTGGTGATGAAGTCACTCAGGATTTATGATCACTTAAACTTGACATTGGGTGTTTTGACAGTAAAATAATAAATCTGCTCTTCATCTTCAGGCCCTGAAATGCTGACAGTGTACCTGACTGCCTGCTGTTTCCTGGAAGCAGCGCCCCAGAGTGTTCTTGGAGGTGACAGGCTGGTACTGGGGGACCTGGTATACGTGCTGGCTGGGGTACACAATGTTGTAGCCTAGGTGCTGGATGTTTTGGCTGCTCTCCGTGTGGCGGTAGGTGTAGCTGGAGGAGGAGCTGGAGCGGGACCCCTTCAGAGGCTGCCCGTTGTTGTGGTAGTTATCCAGCTGAGACACCTGGTGCACCTGGACCGAGGCCTCTGGGGGGTGTTTGATGTGGATGTTCACGATGCTGGGGTTGAACACTGGAGGCAGATGGGACAATTATTGCAGTGCATTGTCTCATTATGAAGCTCAATGTCTGTCTGTCCATAGGTGGACTACATCTGATCTACTTCAGACTAGGCCGGAGTATTGCTGTAGAACCAAGGGCATGCAACGTCAAGGTTTGTTCAATTTGGAAAAGCAAAATTCTATATTAATTAACTTTGAATAAAAACGGATTGTGTGCTTCTGATTAAAAGTTGTAATAATTCAATGTTAAATGACACACAGTAAACGAGTTGCTTTCAGATTTTGACAGTGTTGTTAAAGATTGAGGCATTATCAGCACCTGATTACAGGGCCTAGTAAAATACTCGATTCCAATTGGTCAATTTGTGATGGCCAACCGTCCCCAGTATAGAAACGGTAAGGGTAAAAAAATGAAGGAAAGAGGTTAACAGTCACAGAGAGCTGTGACAAATTCAAATCAGCAGAAGAAGTCAGACCGTTAACACCAAAGGGAATACAGTGAAAAGACTTGGACAGTTAAAATAGCATTTAAAACCGGATTGAAGCCTTCAGAATAAAAAGAACTATAGCAGAGGAAACAGGGTTAAACATATAGATGTTTACTACAATGTGTTGGGTTGGGACCAAACAGCTTTGGAGCTACTATCTATAATAGTTAAATCACATCAGTTTGATCCATCAGATGTCACTGATCTAAAGGCTGCAGTGTGGGCAGTCTCTCTCGCTGCATCTCGTCTTTTCTGTGTTTATCCTTGCATGCCCAGCTACATGCAGCTGAACTGGGTTCATTCAGAAAAAAGTGTTTGCTTTCACACTTAATGGAGCTGAAATACTATTTCACTGGACTGCCCATTAAACACCAACAATGATGAACAACACAATGTGTGGTCCATTTACAGGGACTGTGTAGATCCTACAGAAGCACTACTTTTAGTTCATCTCTTACAGTAAGATTTAAAAAGCTTGAGCTAACACTGTACTGGGAGACTATCACAATAACTAACACGCACTGACTGAGGTAATGCCATCAATGATTTAACAGAAAGAGGTCATTTGAATGGTTGATTTTCAAATGTATTTTTTCTGCTTGTATTTGTTATCATTGGCCAGTGAGCAGATATATTGTTTGTGACTCACTTTAAACACCATGCTGGTGTTTATACATGTTGAAGGCCATTGAATACAAAAATATTTGATAACACAGTGATAACGTTTTATATAAAGTTATATACAAAAACATTTGGCTATATAAAATATTCTTTGTTGCATTTGTAAACGTATAGATAGACGATAAAGAAAAAATGTTGATAGGTTATTGTTATTTGTACCTGTTATAAGAAGCAGGAAATCCTGGGTGCTTGTTTAGAAAATGTCTTTTGAAATTACATTTTTCATGGCTTACTAATTTCTCACAATATATCAAGAATACAAGTAAGCCAACATTGATGGCAGTAACATCAAAAGGATCTGGAAGCACATTAAACTCTATATCATTTGTGACTCCTTTTGTTTGGATGTTTTGTCCCAGCATCAGAGAGCCATTGCAGTGTGGCAGAGCCCCCGCCCCTCCCTGCAGCAGCATCTCAGCTGCTCCATGGACTCACCAGGGTTCTGTCCGTTGCTGTAGGTCAGTGGCAGGGTGTGTGTGGAGTGGACCTGGGTCTGGCTGTACCCCCCCGCCGGCTGCTGCTGCTGGCCGCTCCGAGCGGGCATCTGGCAGAACTTCCCGGTAAAGTTGGGGGGGCACTGACACTTGTCCCTGGTGCTGCACTTCCCCCCATTCATACAGGGCAGGTGACACACAACTGAGAAGAGAATAAAGAACGAGAAGTAGATGAAGTGACGCACTAATGGTCCCAGACAATACAAAACAAAAAAGTACGTTCCATTATAAACACATCTGTGAGCCTAGAGCTGGAATAAATTATTAATAAAACCGACACACACCATGAACACAACAACAGGTGTCAGCTATACACACAGAACAGTCAGAGGGCTAAACCAAGCACTACAGCAGTATGGCTCTGAGACGCCAGAGGGAAGAGAGGATACAGTGAAGTCACTGTTCTGCAGCCAAAAGGCGTTAACAAGGCGCAAATGAGGTGATGATACACATGCTGTGTATGTACCAAATTCTGTTCAATGTGGTATTGTTCCATAAGATTGGCGCAACATTTGCATGTGGACAAAACAGGTGGGAGACACTAACAAACCTATCCAAGTACTGCTTCATTTCCTGTTATAAAAACTAGATCTCAGACAAAAAGAGATACAGGTTCATTTTCTCCCAGGCCTCGCTGAGTCATTTCCCCTCTTTTCATCGTTTCTTTCCAAAGAAAATCAGACCTCACAAAGTCAGGACAGGAAAGGGACCGGCAGCCATTACTCACATCAATAGAATTATCACAGGTTACCATGTCATTACATTATTGGATTGCTGCTCAAACCCCCCACCAATAATTCATCATCATGGGGCATATCCTACATTAAAACAGCAAATGTATATAATTGTTCAGAAACCCTGACTTATAGTATAGTATAGCTCCATTAGGGATTTAGGTCTGTAAAGATGGAGGTTTTTTATTATTTTTTAAATATATATTTAATATATTGGTACAGGGCGAAACGGAATTTCGGTCAACTTGTTTGTAACACAATAAGAGATTTTGACAATAAAGTTGACTTTGAAAACATTCTGTATCATCATAAAGAACCGGCAAAACTCCCTGATGGCAGTAGAGTCAATAAAGTATATATATAAGTATATAAAAAAAAACTTGTATTTTTCAGTTCCTGCCCTTGTTGTGTTGTGGCTGCATCAAAATATGCTGCATACATGCAGGAGTCATTATATACATGACTATCTCCCAAAATCTATATTTTATCATCTAATCATAAATGATTTGATAGTGTCTGGACTGCAAGAATGAGCCGGCAGTTCCAGGCGTCTTTAATAAAGAAAGAAGGATTTGAGTTGCCAGAGAGCTCTCAGCCCAGCAGCCGGTGTGTGCACCTGGGAGAGGAGCTGGAAAAACACCACTTAAATCCTGCCTCCATGGACAAAGAGGAAACACATTCAGCAGGCTGAATCATAAAGATTTCAAAAAGAATCCTTATAAGTGGTATGATGAACTCATTCCCCAAACAGTTTCTGCCATCACCAAACTATCATCAATTGGCCAATTCATTTCCTGTCTTGAACTGGCCAAATCAACACTGAAAAACAGGTCAACACCTTTTTTCTTCTGTGGTCAGGGAAAACACATGTGGAAAACTAAACATGCCAAAACACCTGATTGTCAAAGACAGTGCGTAGAAAAGTTTAAATGTAATCTGGGATTGTAAGCACTTCTCTCAGGATGATGGCCCAGAAATACCCTTTAACATAGTTTAGTTGCAGATCATCCAATATTTGCACACTGACAGTAATACAGTTGCTACTAAAGCAACAGTCACGACAGATGGACTTTGATTTTTAAATGTTGAAACTTTACCTTCCTGTTCCCGGCTGTTGTTTGGACATGGCTAATATACAGCTCCTCAAAACCATGTGCTTGTCAGTTCTAACACTTTAAATATCACACGTATACACAATTATTGGCAAATAAATCACTTATCCCAAAGAATGAGTATAAAACAAGACTAAAAGTCATACATGCTCTGAGCTAAATGCTACCTCCTGCATTAACACAATGACAATGCTTACATGCTGACATTGAACAAGCATTATGCCAATCACACATGTGTGAGTGCAGTAGAGTGACCATTGGGATATGCTCCTGCTGGTGGGGATGCTTGGGTTTTGCCCAACTTTTTTCAAAAGGACAGATGGTGTCACAACCTTTAGAATTTTACACAAATTTTACACTAAAACATGTTTCTGAAAAACAATGGAGCTAAGAAATAAACTGCAAGCACTAACATAAAACGTCTTCAGACAAGTAATTCTGTAAGTTAATTAACAATATAACAATGTGCCAAGAGTAATATATTGAATGGATAAAGTGGGTGGTAAATGCATGCATGTATATCTACTGTATATACAGAATATACAGATTGTAGGGTTTGTAAAGCGATTGAAAGTGCATTCAAGCAGGAAGTAAGTGAAATAAGAGTTAGCTCAGCTTCAGGTTGTTATGACAGCATCAGAGGAGCAGTTGTTCTTTATGCACACCCATCAAGTGTAGTCAAGTCAATGTTTATTATAGAAAAAGCATGCCTTAGAGGGCTCGTTATCATCCAGAATGAGGCCGATGTATCATATGAACATTTTAGTGGTTAACAAACAGGTCTCCTGAGTTAAAGTTATTGGCATCAATAAAGAAGTGCAGTGGGAAGTGGAGAGCACCCTGAGGGGCCCCGGTGCTGGATGGGATTTTCTCTGCTCTTACTGGCAGCTTCTTGTCTGCCTCCTGTATGTTGGGAAGGATCCACTGACAGGAAGGGGCTGGCACAGTGACCTGGGTGAGTTAGAGTGAAGGCCTCTGGGATGTTGCTGTTCAACGCCAAGCTTAAGAATTCAGGCTTTTATTCTACCACCGGTGATAGAGCTCTGTTCTGAGTTAGTGGATGAGTTTGGTTTATTTTCACAGAGAACAATTCCAAGCAAATCAAAATTCATTACCTAAAGCCATGTGAAATGTTTCCTTTTGTTCATTGACGGGAGAGGGGGAAAGTACAGGGACCTCTTGTTAGGCATGCAACCTACATTTGCTCCATATTAAGTGTCTGGTTCGTCACTCTTAATTTAAAGAAATCCAAAACATCAATAGCCATAAATACACTGTGAAATAAGTTATAATATTAATTTGTCAGATATTTAGATTGTCAGGGCTTCACAAGAGATAACAATAATCCATCATCGTTTAATGACATTTAAATAATTAACCTGGTATTATTCATATTTGGACTAGAACTATTGTCTATGAGAACCTGTTTGATAACCATATCAGCTCTTAGATTAGGGGCGTCCAGGGATTTCCCATAATGCCCTTTGAATTGTACAGTTTATTGAATACAAATGGACAATTCCAGTCCAAAAACATTAGCCCCTTTAAGATCATCACCTTCATCATCTTCATCATCAGTCCTAAAAGTAGAGTAAAACTGTGCTTTTGGTTTAAAGTGCCCCATTATCAGAGGTGGAAGAA